TAATGCTACTCTGAATACCAAAATACACTCTCCAGTAGTGCACAGGCTGTAAGTTTGATTTGTTTCTTTATTTATTCTTGAGTTGGTGATTTTAAGTACTGTCTTCTCTGCACCATGGAACAAAGGGAGCATGAAATTGTGTCACGTATTAAATATGATTATTTTTTTTCCTCTTGGGAATCATTCTTATAGTTTGAGATACGTATAACAAAAACTGGGGCTAGGCAATTTAGAAGAAAGTTTGACACAAAATCCTGAAGAAACAGATTTCCCTCAAATATACAAGAAAAGATCAGAATACTGAAGACTTTTATTCTCATTAGATCTGTATCTGGCACATGAGTTGGCTTAGCGTTTGGCAGGATTAAAACTATTGAAGTGTTGCCAGCAAAGGGTGATCTTAGGATGGGTTTATGTCAGGAAAATGAAAGGGAAGGCTGGACCAAAGGTTATTTTACATATATATATATATATATATACACACACACATATATACATATATATATATGAGTTTTTTTAAATGAGTATGACTTACTGTTTTACTGAGCTGATAAACAGAAATAAAGTAAAAAATAATATGCTTTCCACCTGTCTAGATAGTTTATATATAGTTAGTGGCAGGGGACTCATTTGGTAGGTATGTTTATGTTAAGGGTAATTTTCCTTGGTTTACTGGGAATTTTTTTAGTATAAGATCTAGCTTTAGAGCAGGGAATAAACTAACAAATGAATTTTGTGGGAGGGAAGCATATTTTTAAATAGCCTTTCATTTAGAGCATCTGGTTGGAAAATATTTGGGGTATGATATTCCAAAAATGAAAGCGACAACAATATACTTTTTATAACCATTGCTTTAAAGTCCCTGTATTCCTGTAGCTCATCAAGTCCTTACGAATTAGAAAATGAAGCATAATGCTTGATGGTGTCAATTTTAAAATGTCCTCTTTGGACTGCAGTTGTAAGTTTAAATCAAACGTGTTTCAATTATAATTCTGAACATTGGACAGTAAAACATCAGCACGTAAGTTTGCTGTGCAGCGATCTGTATATTGCACAGCATAATAGCTACATTTGAAACCACCTTTCAGTTCTACAGGCACAGAGGGAAATGTTACATTTGTAATGTAATTGCTGATAAACTTGTTCTTCAGATATTTAACATGATGGTGCTTAAACCTTTTGAGAGGAGAATAGTTGCTGAACTGAAGAGAGCAACCTCTTAGTTCAAACAAACATTGGCGCTACTTGTGTACTTTCAGCTAGGAATAAGTAACTTGTAAATCTATAGCTAGCTATATATATGTGTATACAAATATTTGTAATTTAAGTATTTTTATGATGTACAAGAAAAGCCATTAACATTTTTTTTTTTCAATACTAACAGACTTTCCTCTTCAGAAATTTCCGTGCTCAAGAAATATCTTTAAATTTAAGCAGTAACTCAAAGATAGATACACGTTGAAGTCTTGACCCTGTTGTTCGGAATTGGAGAGGCTGCTTGTGTTATATGGCTATTTTTACTTGGTTTTTTTTCTTTGATGTATTTGTGAAGAACATGCATTTATATATGCATGTCATAAAAATCAGCTAACTGGTGCCATAATATTGGGCTCTTCATTGAAATGCAATTTCTCTTCGACTCAAATAGCAGTAGCAAGTAGGCTAGAGAAGTTCAAAGCGGAGCCTTTGATCTTCGCAGCTGCGTGAGGAGCAGTTACGGGGCACTTGCTCTCCCTACGGAGGTTGCCCCTTCTCCAGACCCACACGGTGGCCAGAGTGGGTTTCTGTATGTGCAGCAGACAGGTTGGTGGGCAGCAGCAAAAGATGAGAATCAATTGTTTGGGGTGGTTTTGCGCATTATTGTGATACCTCTAAATGCCGATGGTGCCTTTTCGTGTGTTTGAAACAGGATTCATGTTTCTGGTGAGTGTATTTTTGTTCAAAACAAAAAAGGCTGAGCTGAGGGATGTGCATTGTATTATATATTCAGCTATAATTTTCCTGCTGTTTATTTAACTTCTACCCAGGCAATGAAGAAGAGAGAGGGAAAATTGGACATGAGAAATTCCAGACCTGTTTGCCCACTGGAATTTTAGCTCTGCCATATACCTTGGCCCTACCTCAATACCTCTGCATTATGTACCTTATGGACTTAATAGGACATTCAAAGAACTAGCTTAAAACTGCTTGGGTCCTTTGGGCTTCTAGTAATGAAAAATTTTAAAGCAACTTTGAAAAGTTCTGTCTGACAAAGTATGTCTGTGTGAATGCTGGAATGAACCCTGGCTGGCAATACGGAGGGAATCCTGATGGAGAAGAATGGTTGAGATGACATTCCCCTTCACCTCAGATTTGTGCAGAAAAACTTTTCCTGAACCTTCTGCACCACCAAGGAGCTGGAGGACAGGTATTCTGCAGGCACAGCGTGGGAACAAAGACACTTTGATTTTATTCAGTAAGCTCAGTTCTTTGACAAAATCATGAAGTAAATGGATACATTGGTGTTCACGCCCACTTACATCAGCAATGTCCGATGTTAAACATGTATTGTTGGTAATAACCGCCCATCTATTTAAGGTTTTCTTAGTCTCCTGGGCAGACTGTGTTGCAAAACGAAAGATGAAATCACTTTGAATATATTTTCTTTTTTTTGTTGTTTTGCCTGCTTTGACAAGAGGCTTTAAATCCCTGCAGTTCAGGTTGTCTAGAACTCAGCATTTTTATATGGTTAAAAACAGTGTATGTGCAAACATGAATTGTTTGATTAAATGTAATGTGACTTTATGCATCTGATAATGCGATTGACTTAATTTATGAATGTTTTATGTATAAACTGTTAGCTTGTTTATTCAGATAATCTATTATAAAACTGAATTTTCAGGAAAGTATTGAACAGTGGTCTTTTTAAATTATTATTTATTTATAAAGAAGTGACTGTTTAAGCAGGAGTCCTAATTATTTCACGTAATGGTGATTGCGGGAGGGTTAAAGGTAAAAAGGAAGCAGACAAACTAAAGCTGCTTGTAAACATCACTCAAACTAGGAACGACATCAGCTGAAATGCTGAGCATGAACCGATATCACCAGCTCTACCTCTGTTGCTGTGTAGTCTCCTTTTCCCTGGCAGAACCAGTCTTTCAGTCTTTCAGCTTGTTTGCACTAAAGGGGTTTGTTGCAAGATCTTTTCTAATTGTAGTTGAGGACCATGCCTGGCCTGAGGATACTCGTGGTCTTCCATGGTTATATCCAAACTGGGACCCACATGTACGTCCCTCTGAACTTGAAGGCTTCAAAGGCTGCAACTACTGCCTTGGGTGCAGTTGGTCACTCTTTAAACTGTTATTCAAGTAAGACATGGTGCAGTATGTTTCTGTGATGGAAGGAACATGTGTGCAAAACAATGTTAAAGAACCTTTCATATGGGTGTGTCCTGCGTGATGTATTTGAATAGCTGGGTCTTGTGTAACGTGCTGGTGATTATTGGGTATCTGCCTGTCAGAGCAGCACCTACCTTGCACTTACTATTTTAATATTGTATACAGACATCACAGATTGCTATTTCTGAAACCTCTGTGCGGACTAAACAACATTTCTGTTCTTCATTCTGTGTTTCTAGTCTGGGACTGTGAAGCTGACCAAGCCTGTGGCGTTATGGACCCAGCAGGATGTCTGCAAATGGCTGAAGAAACATTGCCCTAATCAGTATCAAATCTACAGTGAGTCATTCAAACAGCATGACATAACTGGTAAAGTATGCACTATCAGAAATGTTTTACTTACTTAAAATGTGGCAAATTGTTTTACTTTGTTGCTAATAGATTGTGACTGTGCTCTGAGGGCTTTTTGTTGACTGTATGACTACAGAGTTGCGAGGTTTAGAGCAGGAGGAATATATCAGCTTTCATAGGCTGTGGTAAGTGATTTCTCCATTTCTCTAAAAGATAAATTTCAGATTATTCGGGGTTAATATAGTGAGGAAAGAAGTCGGTCTGTATGTGGGTAAGGGCCGCACCCTGTTCATTCCAAATAAATTTAAAAAAACCCCAAACACTAAGAAATGTCCTATAAGGAAAAATGTAAATTAGTTTTTTCATTGTGGTGTTTCACCTTGGGTTCATATTCTTTTTTGGCTTTTTTTTTTTTTTTTTTAAATTAAACTCAGAGTCCTTAACATGTAGGATGAGAAGCAAGCCCAACTCAACCCCTCCCTAGGGCTGAAGCAGGATCAATACCGCATGTTCATTGCTGACAAATGTCTGACTTTGTTCTGGAAAACATACAGTGGAGGAGATTTTTACATCTCTCTATTCTGGTATTTTATGGTCTTTAAAGTTGGTATTTTCCTAGTATCAGTCTAAACTATTATTTCCAGCCAATGAAACTGAGCTCTGTCCCAAGTGTAGCTCGAGTACAAACAATCATTCATTCTGGCAGTCTTTCCTTTACTGGATAGGGGGCTTCCCACTTGCACATACTTTCCTTGTCTAGTCCAAAAATATTTGTTTGTTCAATCATGGTTTGTCCCCCAGATAGTTGCAGGATCTCCAAACCTTCAACACTTGGTGTCTTGTCTTAGAAGAATGTATTAAAAAGCATCATTGTATTTTGTTTTCCTATTTACTTTAGAAGTTGATATTGATTTTGTTGATCTGCTTGACTTGTTAACTCCTACTCAGTTTGCTGTAGTGGTGTTTTAGCTGACCACTTTGAAGTGACATCAGTTTAGCAGAGTAACTGGATTAATATAAATATAGATGTAACTTGGGATTTAAATAGCATTTTTACTCATATTCCAGGCAGTAATTAATCTGTAAAAAGTTTAATGTGGAACACTAATTTGTTCTTTGAAGAGGTGATATACAAAGCTGGGAACTGGCATTCAGCCATTTAATATCAAGCAGAGATTTGAGTTTCACATACAAATCTCAGTCTTATCAATAATGTATTGTTAACTAATGCATGTTTCAATCAGTGTCTCTTCATATACGTGTACTTGTGGTGTTTCAAATTTTCCATTGACTCCTTTTGCTATTCTTTGCTTTCTGATAATATATGAATGATTGCAAACATGGCAAACTAAGCCACCGATATTTGTTTACTATGTAGCCCTGAATACGCATGCACACTTACATGTGAGAGGTGGTTTGTATTGGCTTGGTAAGTGTTGAGTTTTAGTACATCACCATTGTGCTCATTTCCTCTCGGTCATAATCTGTTGAATGCAGCCCATAGGAACGTAGTCTGCATCTCCACCCATGTGTACAGCGCTGACTGCATCCAGAGCGCTACTGGAAAAAATTGGAGCTATTTTTTTAATCTTTTCTAGTACAGTTTTACTATCTTATTGTCTCTTTTTCGTACTATGGCATTGTGGGATGAAGTTGAAAGGAAGAAAAAATTGTTTTCATTTCAACATAAACATAGATGGAAACCTTGTAGTTTCATTGCAGATGTGCAAAACTTCAAACTTTATAGACCTCTATGAAAAGAAGAATCAAGATCAATGTTTCTTACTTTATACAAAAGAGGTGTAAGGAAAATATTAGTATGAGTGTTCGAAAGTAGTCTGCAGGAAAGAAAATAACTTCAATTCAGTAACTACCAAAGAAAAGAAACGCGATCAATGTTTGTGTGGATTTTATAAAAGTATATTGAGATAATATTATGAATGAAATCAATAACTCAGGAGGATATTTCCAGTGCTGTTGGTCCCTGTGACTCCGATTATTTGAAATCTAATAAGGGGATAGAACAGTGGATTTGTGGCTCAAAAGAAGTAGAGCATGAAAGGAGCATGGAAACTAATGTGAAGATTAAGCCAAGGTAGTGTAACTGTTTCCAGATATAGCTATGAAAAAGTGATGTGATTGTTGAAAATTTCTCAGGAATTAAAGTGACTTTACAGGCTGCTTTGATATGGAAAAATATTATGGAAAAGAACTTGAAAAAAGTGACATGAAAAGGATATTTAAACTTTATTTGAAGATAAAATCTAAGGCATGGTCATGAGCCAGGCAAATAGTCTTGGGAAAACATATCTAGCAGTTGTTAACCATAGGTGTTGAAAAGTGTGGCATTTTACTTGGGACTATTAGTTGCTGATTACAGTTTATTGAGCTGGGGGCAAAAACGCAACCCAAAATGTCCTTTCTTTTATGGAGGTTTTATACCTTTTTACTACTCCTGACAAAGAGCAGCTGCAGATGTGTAAGAAAAAAATGCTGTGATTTACCCTGTAAGAAGTTCTTCATATTAACAGTGATCTTGAGGATGCCAAGGGACAGTGTACTCTTACCAGATTTGCATATGACACCAAATTGGGGGTGACAGTCCATAGACTCAGGAGTAGGGCTGCCATTTGTAGGCACCTAGGCACAGGGACGAGACATAAGCTGGAGGAATGCATCAACAGGAACCTTAAGAAATTCAACAAGGACAAATGCTGGGAAGGCCGAGCCCCTTGCACCCCATTCAGCCTGGGGCTTGCTGGCTGGGGAGCAGCTTTGGTGAAGAGGACCTGTGGTCTTGATGGTTTGGAACATGAAGCAAACCAGTGTTGTGCCTTGGCAGCAAAGAATGCTAACGGAATCATGGTCAGTATTAACAGGAGCACAGTAAGCTGATCAAGGATAGTTGTTATTCCCCTTCATGCTGCACTTCTTAGACTCTAGTTTTTGGATCTCCAGTGCTGGAACTTGCATTCCAATTCTGGAACTTGCACTTCAGTGCAAATTCGTTGGCCACCAAGATGCTCAGGTCTGGAGCACTTGCCCTCTGAGCAGGGGATTGAGGGAGCTGGGCTTGTTCAGCCTGGGTAAGAGGCAGCTTGCCAGGGTGGGATGGGGGGACTAGCAAGAGCCTCCAGTGTGTAGAAGGATGTTATCAAAAAGGAGCCAGACCCTTCACAGTGATATATGAGACACCAGACTTGAGTTTGAAACAAGAGGCTGAGGCTGAATGTCAGGAGAAACTTTTTCCCCATGAGGACAGTTGGACATTAGAACAGGTTGCTCAGAGAGGTTGTGCAGTCTCTGTCCTGGGAAGGTTTCAAGCCCCAGATAAATAAAACCTTGAGAAACCTGAACTGATCTCATAGCTGACCATGCTTTGAGCAGGAGGCTGGGCTAGAAATCTGCTGGGGTCCCTTCCAACCTGAATTCTTCTGTGGTCCTATGATTTGCTGAGTCCCTCAAAACCAGTGAAATGCATTTTGCAGCCAGTTAGGGAGAATTAAATATGGAAAGGTCTAATAAGAAATGGGGAGACTTTTTTTATACACAAAATCCTTGAGTTCAAGGAGTGGAGGTCATGTTCATGATGTTGGACCCAGAGCCAGAACCAAAAGAATTTGAAGGACTAATACTGAGTGAGATCCAAGGGCACCTGATAGGAATTAGTAAAAACTAATTAGGAAAACTACGACAATAAAAAGGGGGGAACAAAGACGACAGTGGCCTGTATAACCAAGAACGGAGTGTAATGGTAGGGCCGTGTCACCAGAGGCTTTACAACTAGTCTGGGTGTTTGCACCAGTGTGAGGGGGCATAAAAAGTTGCTCTAACTGGCCAGCTTTTTACACTCATTTTGTACCAGTATAATCCAGGGGACAAACCTGAGAAATGGACCTTGCTTTCAGTGCGCATTTGTGGCTTTAAATTTTCCAGGCAGCAATACTTTTAAACGGCTAGGGAGTTCTTGAGACATGAGTTGTTCTTTGATGGTCTTATCCCGTAGCATTGAAACAAATGAAGATTTTTTGCAGTGTCTCAGCATTAACAGGAGCAAGACTGGGCATAGAATGACTAAGGAATAACCATTTTGGGGAAAATGATCCATTGAGAAAGTAATAAAGAAGATGTCTAAGTAACTGCTTACTGATGTGTGATTTGTTGAAAGAAAGGAAGGAAGGAAAGAAACCCTGCCTCACCTCTTGTTTTTACGCCATGTTCCCCAGTGTGCTAATGCATGTCTTCAGAGCATGAGGTTTTAATGCTATGATCATAAAACAAACCTCATTCTGTCAAAGTAATACCCAAGAGGTACCTTGGTCCAAGTGAAGGAATTTGATAGGAGGTACTTGAAAAGACTCAAGCCTTTTTAAATTAAACTTTTAAGGAGGAAAGGAACAGGACTCAAGAAAACCTCTTTTTAGTTTTAGAAGGGACCAGAATTTATGAATATTCATTAAATACCAAATGGCACCTCAGAAAATGAAATATGAAGTCCGACTGAAAACCTGCTTGCAAATAGCCTTAAAATCTGGCTAATTCTGTAACCTCTGAAGATGCTTGCATTAGATCAGATATACTGACATATATTTTTAAGAAATTAATATAAAATCTTGCTTTTAAAATCTGAATTGATTTTTTTTTCACTTCAATAATATCTTTGCAAATGTTAGGGGTTTATCATATCAGCTGAGATGCTCAAGTTATTTAGCATGTTGGTGAAGGAATGGTCTCGTGGTTTAAGATACTGTACTGGAATTTGAAGAAATCTTGGCTCTGTTTCACATTACTCTGGTATTCTTAGGAAGCACAGTGGATCCTCAGGATCTGAGTTACTCTCTCCATGCAGAGAAAGGCCTTCTTTTTCTTATCAAAGTGTTGCCAGATATCTTTCAGATTTCCAGAACATATGTAGTTTAATTATGCCCTTTGTTTCACAGAACTCAGCTGAGTTTTGTGCTGCAACCAATGCAGTGACCCGGGGATGAAAGGTGTGCAGTGGAGTGCAGGGGGCTGGG